AAATTGAGTTAAACGCAATGCAAATGTCGAAAGGAACAACTTTCGGGAAAAGCGCTCGCAAGTAGGCAACGCCATGCAATGCCACGCTGTGTGTGATAAAGGTTAAGTGCTTTTCAATTATGACTAATTCACCGGTGCGGATGCGGTCGGCTCATCCCTATAATCCCAGCTATATCTACCTTTTTGAGACCAACTTGGCTCGGTGCCCGCCTTTCGACGGCAGCTGGTCAGGCAATAACAAAAGAGTACTGCCGAAAAAAATGGTCATAAAACGCAAGCGCCAAACACTTGACACTGGCACTCAAGTGGCCGTTTGCACACCGTTGCAAATGATAATGGAACGCCCGCTTGGGCGAAAGCCAAATGTCGGGCTTGCAGAGAATGGCACTCAGAAAAATAAACTCTAAAATAAAAAATTATATTTACGTTCAGGTTCCGTTTTTACGATTATACTCGTTATTATTATTCTTACCATAAACTAGGAAATGTTTTAGGTTTATGTGGCCAGCATTATAGTTTATATAATTTAACGGTTTTAGTTAAAATACAAGAAATATAAAATCTTTTTAAATTTCTGTAAATATATTTTTGTACACGAAAAATCAGGCACCGAATATAACCAATATTAGTGATTTCTATTTTTAAAGGACTAATAGAGTTTCATCTATACTTAGCCTTCCCCTAAATGGAACTTCTTTAATGTTTTTTTTTTCTCAAGAGCTTTCATTTTTCTTACTAAACCCACCCAAACGGTTGTATAAAAAACATGCAAGATGATACTTTCTCGATATCAGATATCATGTGAAGTACATATGTAGACTTTTTAAGTCTTGGGTTCCTTTTCTCCGAGTGTGGTGTGGATTCCCATGTGGTGGCGTCACCCCGGTAGTTAGGGGCTCTGCAATTTCGTTGATGTTCGCACTACCGCCGACCGGAACTGTGTCGCACAGCCTGCCAAAGAATCGCTACATTGTTCATCGCTCTATTCGCTGATTCTTTTTGGCCTTTTTTTTAAACTCTTTTTCGGCAACGCTGTTTCTGGTTTTTGGCCCCGATTGACCAATGCAAACAATGTGAACAACGACGGGACCCGGACCCGCGATTCACGCTGACTGCCCCCGAAATAACAACAATTGCGCATAATGCGTGCCGCAACAGATGTGAACCAAAGCGGCGAAATCGACGTTAAGGACTTCGAGCTGGCCATCGAGGTAAGTGGAGCGGAAATACTGCTGGCGGAAAAAGCAAGCACGAATTTGAATATATATTTTTGAAGAGTGCTGGCGTATATAACTCGTCCATGCATCAACAAAAAGTAGTTGTTCGTTTTTTTTTTTCGTACCCATTTTGCATGCAGTTTTTGCGAATATGAACTGATAACTCAATTGGCGAGTACCGTGCTGACTGTTATTGTTTCTGCCAATTGCAGCGCGTTTGCCAACTGCGCGGCTGGCAGAAGGACACGCCGAAGAACAAGGAGACGTACGACCTCATGATGGAAATCTGGACTGGCCTGCGCTCGAAGGCCGACAAGGACAACGATGGACAGGTGAGTTTGGAACCTTTCCACCCCTATTCACCTTCCCCGCTGAGTTGCAAAGGCAACTACATGTCAAGTGATTCCGTTTTTTGTCTGGCTCCATTGTCAGTGCCAAAAGTGCTGAAATCCATGGACTGCACTCGATGCCATTGTGGCAGCAGCTGACAAGTGTGCAGGACACCCCACACACCAGGGTACCCATACAATGTCCTTCGCACCGACAAAGCTTCACACACAAAAAACGGAAGAGAAATTTTCGTTCATAAATTTCCCTTTTTATTGGTGCGGAATGCCGAGGGGTGGTAAACAAATTCCCTGCCAGCGGGCGGAAATTGAATTGTGAATTATTTGAGCAGTGCAATCCGAATTCCGGCCGGGGACTTCGTACCGCCCCAACTTTCTTCTTTCCGTAATGAGAAGACCAACTTTTTGTCATAGAATGCAGTTCTGCAGGCTTTCCCTTTGTAATAATGTCCTCGCCAGTGCAGTGGCAAATTAAATTATAATCCGGCATAGCAGAACACAGTTCAATATCAACAAACGGCGACCGAAACCCGCAACAATGCGATACAAAGCGAACAGAAATTGAAATGTCAGACCGACAAAACCTCGGCTTAATTCTATTGCCACGTTCCAAGGGTTATGGGTTTCGGGCTAGGAGGGGTTTAGGGTTATACGGGTTTTACGGGTACTTTGTGCTCAAATAAACTCAATGAGGTGGATGGCGGATAGAGGAACTTCGGCTGCCACAAAAGCCGCAAAAGTTCTGGCCAACGGCCAAAGGAACTTGATGGGGAGTTTGCTGCCAAAATATGCCAAATCCTCGGCTATTGTTGGTCCGCCTTTGTGGCAGTCAGCTATGTAGCTTAAGATTTATTGTTCACTTGCCACGGCACTCCAAATTAGCCGGAAAAGGAGCTGCAGTTGGCCAGTCTACGCATTTTTTCTGGGCCTTACAGGGTCAAGGATCTAGGGCAAATCGTTTCGATTCAGTCTGCGGTCATAAACATAAAAATATGCATTCAGTTCGACTGTTCGGCTGTTTAGAGCCCCCTTTTCGGGGGTGGCAGCTGCCAATTGGCATTACAAGTGGTCCTGGTCAGCAGCAACCCTCGCACTTATTTATGGCCGCATTAAAACATGCCAAAACGTAACGGCTGGCCACAATTAATGGTATGGGGTATTGGGTCCTATGTACTGGTTACTGGTACTGCTATAGGGTAACTGGTCCTGGGTTTTGGTAACGCCATCCAAGGCGGTCAGCCAAGTTGGTCAAGGCGATGTTGCGGTAATTGCCTGCCTTGTTTGCTATTGGCATCGAGGAAATGTTAATATCGCATCACTAGATGGCATAAATTACACCCCCAGAGCAGCCATAACGACGGGGCAGGAGGTGTTTTATGGCGAATCTCCGCCCGAGGCGACACCGGACTAATGGGCTTTTCAGCACGGGGCGGGATGCATAAATCTGGGGCGGTGACTCAACTAATCCGCAATCTCGACGCGCTCATCCCATTATGACCCAATGGCTATGTCTCTTCCAGGTCAGCGTCGACGAGTGGTGCAACATGTGGGACGCCTATGCCAAGGATCCCAGTAGCGTTATGGACTGGCAGAATGCCTACATGAACTTCATGTTCGATCTGGAGGACGCCTCCCATGACGGTGGCATCGATGTGACCGAGTTCACGCTGGTCTGCTCCAGCTACGGCCTGGAGAAGACCGAGTGCGAGGAGGCCTTCGGGAAGATGGCCCAGGGCCAGAGCGAGGTCACCCGGGAGCAGTTCGCCGCCTTGTGGAAGGAGTACTTCGCCGCCGAGGACGTCAATGCGCCGGGCAACTACATCTTCGGAAAGACCAGCTTCTAAGACCCAGCCAATGAGCCCAATGATATACTGGACTTGCAACAACTACTGGACAAATGCAACACGTGAAATTATTATTAAAATAAATATAATATCTCTATTATTCGATTATTGACAGGGGAGGCCGATGGCGATCTCGGACCTCCCGATTTGATGCTCCGTCGTTGTTAGTAGAGTGTTGTTTTCTCTCCAAGAATCTCAAGTTTTGCCCAATTCAAATGTTCTAATTTAGTAGCGTAATCTGTCTGTAACCTATTTATACTTTATATACCAAGGCTTCGAGTAATGTGCAAGCTGGTGTATCTCTACACAGAAACATATTCGCAGAAGTGTACCTTTACGAACTACGACTATATCTAGCAATGATATCAATTACGAGGTGGGATCCCGCACAGATCCGTATCAATGTGGTGCGTAAATTAAATCAATTAAACTGTCAAATTGTTATGTGTGTGTAGTCGTCGTTTATCGTCTCGCATCTATGGCGTATAAATTTAAATTTAAATGTAAATGTAAAGTGTTCCAAGAAATTACGATAATAAAATCAAAGTATCTACACGAATCTCGTCCCTCACTTGTTGCTGGCCTTGTAATTTCGATTTATAATGGCTTCTAATGGGTGCGGTGGTGTGGGCGGTGAAAACAACAGACCGTTTGGCGCATCAAGTGCGATATAATCAACGTGTGCCTGGCCGTTTATGAAAATTAAGGATAAAGTGCTTCTGGTCGGCCAGCGACGGGAAAATTTACTTTGCAGCGCTTAGAAGCTCTTAATTTATGCCCCCGCATGCAGGGTGTCAAAGTAAAAGAATTATGTTGACGGTTAAACCGTTGCCTAGGAAAGAAACTTCCTTTGACTCGGTTCACTGTATGGAATAGCCGTGACGGAAATATATATATATAAATCGATATGGATAGGATTGTGAGATGACGATAGAGATTAAATCTCTTGCTCAAAGACCCGGCAGAACGAGTATTTTTTCCTCTGCCCCGATAACCCCCTTTAACCCCATCTTACCTTACATCAGTGGCGACACCTAGTGATGAAGTTATACGCGTAATTTATACATTTTACAAATATTCTACGGGATGTTCACACTAACCGACACTGTTCAAATGCCAGCTAACTTTCCAATACAAGTAACTAATTTGCTCTTCCGAACTTTATTATGTAATTATGAACAAAAATATATATCCTGAGATGTTTTTAATCAGCTTTGAATTACAAGTGAAATAAGCAGCCAAAGCCACATTTGGCCGCTGTTGCCAAAGAAGCTGTGTGAACATCCTGTAACAACTTTTTCCCCATGTAAACGTAAGTGTCAGTAAAGAAGCGAGATGGCCTCAGCGTAAGTGTCAGTGAAAAAGGGAGATGGAAGATGCGAACGTAAGTGTCAACAAAACGTAAGCCAACGTAAGTGTCAGTAAAAAAGCGAGATGCAATATGAGAATGGAATGGATGGAGAATGCAAAAAAAATACAGTTAAGGGTAGTGTGACCAGCGTGGCTAAAAAAGGCCGTGGGGTGGCGCGCTGCGCAACACTGTTCACAGTCAGCTGCTTGCCAAAAAAAAACTGTTCCACAAGTGGCAACTCTTTTAGTTTGTAAACAAAAACAGCTGTTTCAACTCCACACGATTTTAATAAACATTAATTCAACATTTTTTAAAACATGAGTAATATAGTGCAATATATAGTTGTTCGCAGTGACTTGCGTTCCGCCCTCAGTTGGCCGATAGGCGCGGTTATTGCACAGTGCTGCCACGCCACCGCCGCCGTCTTGCACTTAAATTCAGAGGACGCAGACACCGTGGCCTACTTGAAGGATCTGGATAATATGCATAAAGTGGTGCTAGAGGTAAAAAATAACTTCATTTCAACCTATCCCTTAAGCTATATCAAATAAATATGAACTACTCTACACATTTCCAGGCCAGAGATGAGGCAGCTCTGGTCAGGCTCAGCGAAAAGTTGAAGGAGAGCGAGATAAAGCACAAGATGTGGATCGAACAACCGGAGAATATTCCAACCTGCATCGCCCTAAAACCATATGTTAAGGACACAGTTCACAAATACGTTAAGCAGTTCAAGCTTTTGAACTAGTAATCAAGTTAAAAAATCCAATGGGACCCACCCCACACCAAGTTGACTAAACCCCAGGGCAAGTTTCTTCGACTAATGGTATAACGATATTCAATTTTTCAACAAACACAATTTAAATAAATACAAGCTTAAAAAATATAACTTCCCTGAAAGTGACCTTAAACGTCTACTTCAACACAGCGGTTTTCCTTGAGGATCTCCGTCAGCCGCCGAGAGATAAGAGGACATCGCTTTATTTTTAACCGTCGCAGCTTTCCCAACGTTTGGGTCAATTCCGCTATGATCTCATTGGATAGATGGGGCGAGTCACTGAGATCCAGAAACTCCAAGGCATTAAGTTTACGCAGTTCCCTCAGTTCATCCGCCTTAAAGTTCTGATTGCGTAAAATCAGCGTTCGTAGTTCCTTTAGCTTGGAGATGATCTTTAGGCCAAAAGCATCCACGAAACCAGGACCGGCCTCCCGGAACTCTAGATGGCGCAGCGAGTCCACCTCCACGAGGGCCATTAGCATCGAGTTGTCCACCTGGTAGGGTTGCGGCTCCAAGTCCACAGCACGAAGGATCAAGGTGCGCAAGTGCGGCAGACCGCTCAATTGCCTCTCGTCCATATATGGACATACCGACATCTCGAGGACCTCCAGCATTGGACAGCTCTTAGCCAGCTCCCGATAGACATGCTCGTCTGCAGCCATCGCAGCCACCTCATCCTCGTTCATCCAGTCGCGGTTAAAATTGCGCATGTGAATTTCACTGCAGCGCAATTCGCGGAGGAGCGGTAGAGCACTCAGATTAGAGAGACGCGTGGGCTCCAGATTCTCGCAGCCTGAAAGCTTCAGAACCTGCAAGGAACGTGGCAGACTTCCCAAAGTGTCGCCCAGAAGACCAGGATTTTCTTCAAGATCCAGAGTTCGCAGGTTAGTAAGCGACCCCAAGCAGACCAGATGCCTATCTGTAATTTGACAACGGCGCAGCGAGAGGTTGACTATCTTTTCCAAACCACTAGTGTTTTGAAATAAATATGCCATGTGGTCCGGGTTCAGCGGAATTCGGTGGAGGCAAATTTCTGACAGATTCGGACAGCTAACACCCAGTAGTTGGACAAATTGCTTCAAGAGCGACCAGCGCGGGTGAAGCGGTCCACCTTCCAAACGGCGAATGTGTTTTCCCGAAAGTCGCATCATTCGCCTTATATTCCAGTCCGTCAATTGACAGACATCCTTCATTTTAAGGACATGACTGAGACGTTGGGATTCCAGTTCGTATATTGTCTGGAATCTTCGGCAACTGGCGGCAAAGTTGAGACGGCTGTCCAGGGGCAGGTAGTCCAGCACCTTGCACCAAATGTCATCGACGATGGGCAAATCGTAAGCACTCTGTCTGCCCGTTTCCTCCTCCTCCTCCGGTTGTTCCCAGGACCTACTGGCACGCAGAAGAAAACTTTTGCCATTTAAGGTGTGCTTAGTACAATACAAAGCCTTGGCCGCTTCGGTGGGCTCTTTAAACAGCACCGATCCCTCCCGCTGATCCACATCCCATCGGATCTCCTCTATTGTTCCAAAGCGCGATAAATACTTTTCGAGAGGCTCAATTGAGAAAGGAAAAAGCGAATAGATTTTCAACCGTCGCACAATAGTGCGATCCTCGGTGTAGGCCACACCATCCTGAACGTAAAAATTCCGTATACGTGGTTTCGGTATTCGCAACATAGCTCTAGTTTCGGTCTAATTTTATGAAATTCGTATCTTTATGAAGGCAATTAAGCTATACTACTTCAGTGGTATACTTTTTTAATGTCTAGTTTGTAATAGATGCGTTAAAAATATTAAGCCAAATTTTGTATTAAACTTTAAAAAATATAGTGCTTATTTATCTAATGGTCTTGCCCGTTTGATTATGTGAGCTAGACTGAATAAATTTCATACCTACGACAGAGGTTGTTTTCTTCGACTGCTTTGATGTGTAGAAGATCAGGAATCCCAATCGTAACTTTCTGAAAAATTGTTTCCACCATAAAAAGCACAAGTTATTTTTTCGACATTTATTTTTTAAGTTCTGTTTTTAAATAGTGTTTTCTTGTAAAAAATAGCTGGGTTCCTTAGTTGCTTAAGGTATTTGAAACAGCTGTAGAAGAAGCTGCAGTAGATACAATTTATATAATATTAGGTAAAGTAGAACTACAATTAAAGGTTGCGGTGTTGGAACTAGAGGCAACCTGGAGCAATTTGGCACAGATGCAGACTCAGATTATACAGTGTTCATATGGTAGGATGTTTCTATGCGATGGATGTACATAGTAGCTATAGCTCTGCCCGATGTCTACATTTAACAATAACAAGTTACTAAAATTAAAACCAAAGCGCTTGGATTCGGTTCGATATTGCGGGGCCACGCCTTCTCTGCCGCCTTTGAGGGGCGTTGGCGATTAGATTTTTGAGCGTGGATGCTGTAGAGCATTGAGCTCGTCCTTGAGCCAGGCCTGAAATTTTTCCTGCGAGGGGCGAGACAGAAGTTTGGCCGGAAAGGGCCGTTAGATGAGAGAGTTCAAATGAGCGGTATGGAGTGCCAGGACCCGTCACCAAGCTGAGCCAGTGTGTGTGTTAGCCAAGGGATAATTGTGTGCGTGAGCGAGAAAGCGGGTTAGGGACAGATATAGAGTATGCTAATAGCATCTACTTTGCAGAACCGTTAGAAGCAGCAGCCACTTGGCATTTGTTAGCGCTAATTGCAAATGTCAACAGAGCGAAACAGAACCAGGATTCGCAGCGGAAATCGGAAATGCTTAACTAGTCGGCAGCGTCTGTGTGCGTGAGCCAGTGCCTGTGCCTGTGTGGGTGTCCTTGTGGGTGGTGCTGTGTGGGTGAGTGGGAGGTAGGAAGGAGGTTGGTTCTTAGGTTCTGTACGCCATTTGCCATTCGACTGGGCTGGCTGGCTGGCTGACTGCTTCCTTTTCACTCATTGTTATGCAAATTATCCTGATATTCATCATATTCGTTTTCATTATCCTCCGCCTGCTCGTCCTCCTCCTCCTCCTCCTGCTCGTAATCGCTGGCATTGCTTTCCGGCTGCGTTACATCGGGCAAATAATCCTTGTGCACGGGCGTCGAGATGATTGGCTCCTGTGTTAGGTGTTCGTTTGTGTGTGTTTTGTGTGTTTCCGGGTGTGCAAGTGCGTTTCCCAGTGTGTTAGTGTTAGTGTGTGTATATGTGCGAAAGCAAAAGTTAGTTAACCAACTTGGACAACAACAAGATACTACCAAGTAGATGGAGGCCACGAGTGGCGCATGCAAAGTTACAACGATCAACTTTCCGACAGCCAATAGGGGGTGCACAGAAAAAAATTAGGTCCTACATAAATTTGGTTCTTTCAAGGTTATTTCGGATATGAGTTTATATCATTTTAAGATAATAATATTTAATTTTCTTATCAAACGATATCAAGAATGTCGTAAAATTCGGAGGTAATAAAAATGTTTGATGATTAATAAAATTCAACGAGATTTAGATAGGTTTTCAAAGGACCGAGGACAACGATGATATCCCCAAAAGCATTTTTTTATAAGTCTGAATCTTTTCAAATAGAACCATAACTTTTTTCTGTGTGTGCTAGGGGGTGAGTGATTGGGATAGTGGGTGGCTTTTAGTCGATAACGAATAACGCATGCTAACCTTTGGCGGCCGCCATCCGCAGCCGGGCAGCGGCAGCCCGTCGGCGCCTAGGGGGCAGGGGGCGTCCAGTCCGGGCACGCCCTGCTCACCCTTGTCGCCGCGATCTCCTTTGCGTCCCCTCTTGCCAGGGGGACCGGCATCCCCTCTGGAGCCCTGCTCCCCGCGGGGACCCTCCTGCCCGGGAATGCCATCCGTGCCCTTTTGTTTCGATTATCCGTAGGTGTGTTGGAGTGTTTAAGGGGTGAGCGTGGTGGTGGGTGGTGTCGGGGGGTCAGAGTTCAGAGGTGGTTGAAGGATTTTCAAGAGATGTGCATATAGGTAGTGAAGGACGCCAAGAAAGAGAGATACGCATGCAAACAGAGGTAAAAACAATAAAATGGAGAAAGAGAAGACACGAATTATTTAAAATTAGCAACCACAGTAGGGTAGAAGAACATTTTCTAGGGAAATGCCCCGAGAAACGGATGATTTTTTGGTTGTTTTATAATGCTTACCGGCAGACCCGGATCTCCCCGCTCCCCCTTGTGTCCCGTCTCGCCTTGGGCGCCCTGCGAACATGGAAAACAGAAAACAGATCGGTTATTACCATATTGTTTTCACATCACTGGCTGTTTCAGGGAAAATACCTTCATGCCATCCAAGCCCGGAGGACCCTGCAGCAAATGGAAGAGAAACAAGAATGGGAAAAGCGTGTGGTTAGCAGAGCGTCGGAAAATGGAAAACCTGCCTTGCCATTAAAGTATTAGATGTCCGAGGACCGTGTTTGTTTTTAGTAAAAAACCATCACTTTATTGGAAATGCATAATTAATTCGAAAATTATGTTAGTTTCATTTAGCCATTTTACATTTCGGTCATTCTAGCGAATGCTGTTTTTCGTGTTTGCACATGCTACGGCAAATAATTACCAGAATTCACATTCGTTTTTTATATTCATTCGAATCATACATTTGAAATGCAGCAGCACGGATAAAAATATTGTATTTCGTGTTTGTGATGGCATAATGCACTCGCACATCGACATTTTTGGTATATGCATGTATATAGACATAAATACACGTAAATATATATATATATATATTTGTATATGTTTTTTGTTTCGTTTGCAAACTCTTCTTGTTTATTGGGTAATTAACAAATTTACACTTACAATTATTGTTAGCGGCTTATTAGGGGTTTAACCTTTTTTACGTCTCTTCAAATACAGTTATTATTTATTAGGTTAATGTTAGGTCTCAATCGCGAAAAACACAATTCATTATTCTAGCCTATGGATCGAGAAAGTTGAGTTCGTTAGTTGTTAGTAAGTGAAGGAATCTAGTGTAAGTATCTATATGTATATAGAGCGAGATGCAAGTAAACACGTTGAGAGGTGAAAAGAGCTAGGAAAAATTAATAATTAATTACGATTAAGTTTCGTTCTTTGCCGTTACCGCTTATGTACACATTGGGGTTTGTTTGACATTTAGTGGATTAAATGAAAATTGACATGCAAATTGCCTGTGTATTCTGTTTTCCATTTGGGGGATTATTACAACAACGAGACACATCTAATTGAAAACAAATTGACATATTCTTTCTGATTTTCGATGCCGTTTGGCGTTTGCCGTTCGAGTAAACCTTAAAGCTGCAAACATTTCCATTCCCCATTTGCATATTCAATAATGCCCATTCAATTTTTATGGGTCCTGTTCTTTCGATGCGGAAATATGCCGGGCAAGGGCTGTCAAATGGCAGTATATACTTTTATTATCATATTTCCATGGCATTATTTCATTTGCATTGATTATGTTTGATTTTCAGGCCGTTTTATTCGTCCTTTGCCTAGTTTGAGCGTTGAAATTGAAAATGCTGCAGTTGCTCGTAAATGTTAATTTATGCTTTCATTTTTGTTGTATAAATAGAATTGTTTGCATTACTTTGTTTGAGATGTCCATGAAACCAATAGGATACATACTTGCGGTAAGATTATGTATTTATTGTTGATATTTCGCATTTCAGGAGGGGATGCTCCAGTTTATCAGCCTTCGTAAGCTGCGTTTGAAAGTGGAAAGCATTGATTTTCCGACTATAGAACTTTAGCCTAGCTATTGTTTGCCCTTCATTTTTTTATGATTTATTGAAGTATTTATTAACACTGAAAAATATGCACAATTGGGTTGGATAGCTCTTTGTTATGGATTATACGAGTACATTGCCTTGTATGTATAGATAGATCTCTTTAATATGAATTGTGTGTATAAGTAACTGAACAATATCGTTTACTTGTAGACATCGAGAGAGAAGTGTGGTTGAAAGTATCTTACAATTCTTTTGTGTTGTCACCTTTAATTAGCACAATTCCCTAGTTAAACACACACAATTACTGGATTCTTGCTCTTAACCTTGCGTTTCACATTGAAGCTTTGGCAATAATGCTTTGTATTTGAGTGAACGAATACTATTCGAATATTCAGACAAAAGCCCATGGACGGCACCTAAGACAATGCGGAATGCAGCAGGAGCAGGCTCGTGCGGTTCGATTGGTAAGAATAATTTGATTACTCAAGTAATTAAGTCACTTATGGCCAATTGCCGATGATTGCGACTTTGTTCTTTGGTCATAAGCCGGCAATTAGTAGCTTCGCACTCGGGGAAGCACTTGAGATCCATCGGAAAGTCGCAATCGAACAGCACGCTCTTTTCACGTACCACGGTGCGTATGATTTATGCATTTCCAAGCGGCTTTTCTACTTTTCTGCTCCTGCTGCAAATGCTTCGCACAGAGCGGCGGCGAATGAAATGCAATTAAAATATTTGCATTGCATATTTGTTAGTTGGTTTGTTGTGTTTGGATGTGGGTGTGTGTGTGGCTGCGTGGGTGCAAAGTGTGTTAGTTGATTCGATTGATTGATGTTTGTAAATACGCTTCTGTAGACACACGTTTGTTTGCGCTATTTGATTGTATACATAAATACTTATTTGACTCTTGGGGCATTTTAAATGATATGAATATTAATTCTTTTTCTCATGCGGGTGGAGTGGAGGGGTTTCGTTCGGTTCCTTGCCTTGTGCAATTAATTGATTTGCTTACTCGGCACTGACATGCTGCTATTTCGAATTTGATTTTCTGTACATGGGTGCGTGTTTGTACAAATTGATTACATATAGAGTACGCCTGTCATATACACATTTATATATATTTATATATATAGACGATAACTGAGCACATTTTGACAAGCGTTGCGCGGCTTCGTAACTTTGAACATTGATTTGCTTTGATTAAATTGGATTTCCCTTCTTCATATGTATGCATTTTCTTAAGGACTTTCTGTTCGATTGTGTGTGAGTGGGTGTGTTTTGTGAGTGTTGGTGAGTTTTAAATGGTTTTTTTTTCAAGTCGCATTTCATTTAGATTTTAGCGCAATGTGTGCTGGTTATTATTTTTAATAGAGACTGCCTTTTAACTAGTATTAGTAGTCGCCCCACACCTGTTTCAAGTAGAAAAGAGAAGAGAGATTAGAACACACAATTTGGTTAGTCAAAACATTTTTAGTAACGAGATCCACAAAAACGAAAGGGAGTTACAACTTGCTAAGCGGGATAATAACCCCGAATTTTGCGGGGCAACAAATTAAAAGCCAAACAAAGAGGGTTTCCGGTGTTCAATTGAAATTTACCGGTATGCCAGCCTTTCCCGAGGGTCCCGAAGGTCCTGACTCGCCTCTCATGCCCATCGGACCCTGCAATTATATTTCATTGCAATCATGGGCTAAACTTTTGGGCAATTTCGACACTTACCGGCAGCCCCATAGGTCCCTGGTCTCCCTTGTGGCCCTTTTCACCCTGCAGAGGAGATTTGAAACAGATTTAGAGCTGGATATTTAGACATGTTAGTTGGTGGCACATGGACTCTTACCGAATCCCCCTTGCGTCCGTCCATGCCACGTTCCCCCTGAAGGCCGTTGTGTCCCGGTGGACCCATGGGTCCCGGAGGTCCCGGCGGACCGTATAACTGCGGAGCAAATAACATCATTTAAGATTAATCCAGAGAGTGGTGGACCAAAGTCAGTAGCTTACATATTCGATGGTGGCCATGTGCGGAGAATCGGACATCCCGTCATCCTGGCGACGACGCATCTTGCGGTACTGAAAGCGAATTTAAAATTAGTCATGCTCAAGATGGGATTTAGAAAAATTTAACTTATAAGAACCAGGGATAAATGTTAGATATCTGATATCTATTAAATCCAAAAATTTGGGAAAGCACGAAAACAATTTCAAATACGTCTTCTCCCTTAATCGAGAAAAAACGTTCTTAAAAACGAGACGTAATTACTCTTGAGCAATCAGCTCCAGAACCCTACATATTTATTTTATAATGTCGGGATTGAATCGTTCTTGTCCTTTTAAATATAATATTTTTCTGTGTGAATATGCTGTAAGTTGTACTCACCGAATCACCACGATCGCCCTTGTCTCCCTTGACGCCAGGATAACCGGGAGGACCTGGCAGGCCCGGAGGACCCATCAATCCAGGCGGTCCAATATCGCCGCGGTCGCCCTTCTCTCCCGGCGGACCCTGATAACCGGGCAATCCAGGTGGTCCCTCAATGCCCGGCTCACCGGGCAGGCCATCCAAGCCACGTGGTCCCAGAGAACCGGGTTCACCCGGCTCTCCAGGCTCTCCCTTGCTGCCGTCCCGTCCATCGCGTCCATCCTTGCCCGAGGTGCCAGGCGGTCCTGGAGGACCTCGCAACAGTGTGACCGGCGGATCGTCGTACTCCTCGTCTATCTTGGTGCCTCCGGGTCCGAATATCTGCCCAAATTGCGAGTGTGTAAGCAAGGGTTGGAGGAGAGAAGATGGCAAATTTAGTGAGAAGATTAATTTATGCCACGTGGCGCCACCCGAGGCGTTGCACGCGCTCGTTCCACACGCTTTTGATGGGGGAAACAAAAGCGGCGCGTAATTCGCAGCTAAGGGAAAAAGTTCCTCCCCACAGAGAGGGGAATGGGAAATGGGGTGTTGGTTTTTTGGGGGTGGTGCTCTGGTGGCGTGTTCTGGTGGTTGTGCCACAGCGAAAGTCTTTTGTGTGCCACGAAATTGTGCTAAGTGCAAGTTGGAGCATCCATGCCATCGCAGCATCCACCACCCACTACCCACTTTTGCCACCGCCCCGTTGAGACAATGGCTGCATAGAAAATCTTTAAAACCGAACCGCGTTCCATGGAGGTCTATGGGGCATAAGGGGTATATATATAGGAGTCGAAAATAAAGTCAAGTCAGCGACAGCGACTTCCCTACGTGCCTCGAGTGCCTGTGTGTGAGTGCCGGTGCCCCGCGCTTCGAGTGTGTGGGTGCTCTTTGGCTCTTGCCACTTGCCATTGTGTGTGCGGGGCATGTGTGTGTGTGTAAGTGAGTGAGTGCATTGCGAAAGACAATTAATTCTTTTTTTTCCGTGTTTTTTTTCGGTGGTTTAATGTGCGCGCTTCAAGGCAAATTTCCGAGGCACAGACAACCAGGCAAGGCAGCCCCAACAAACATCAAGTCCAAAGTTTCGATGGGGCTTAAGTGAGCACACCCATCCAAACGTGCACTGCACCCAGGAAAAGTCATTCAAAATCAATGTTTAAAAAAGAGATTTAGCTTGTGGGATTTTAAATCGACCTTATTGTACGCGAAGAATATGGGTTACATAAGTATAAAGTTTTTAATGGAAAGAAAAGTTAGTTGGAGTTATGAAAGGATTTCTGTATCCATTTCTTATAATTATTATAACCCATAGAAATCAAAGTGAAAATTATGAATTTCTGTTTAATGTAATATTATCAAACATCTATTTTATTTTTTTATAGTTTTTTGATTCTGTTTCAATTTGTTATTTTATTATTTCCCATAGAAATGAAATCGTTGTTATGTCTTATATATTTTGTTTTTACTTATTTGTGTTATTGAAAGACTTTTTGATCTCTTTTATATTACAGCTCTTCCTTATATTTTAAATTATGTGTGTTTTTAGTTTTATAGACTGCTCATTATAATATTTATATTTTATTTTTCAGTGCACTGTGGCTGACGGGAAATTACCAAAAGTTGTTGAGGGCGGGGGCTTTCAGACCGCAATGCACCCGAAAACAAAAACCTCTATTAGGCGACTGCTGAGCGACATAAAAGGCAAACTCCGGCAAAAACAGCAAAGTGCAGTGGAAAACGTTAAGGAGCCATGGAAAATGGCTAGAATAAAGGCGAATGGGGAAAACCATTTACACATGTGGCTCAAGCAAATAGAGACACTCGGCGTTTCGCTGGAATATTCAATAGGATTCGGGGTAAATCGAGTTGGGACTAAAATGGGCCTCAGGTTGGCATTAAAGTCGGATCCTTCGTGGAATTAAAGGTGAGTGCTCCCCGGGCGATACTGCTCGAAATCTGATTGAATGTATCCGTTTAGTCCTTTGATTGTGCAAATGCATTTATGTATTACGCACAGTCGTTCACCTCTATCCTGGCATTATGCAATTGATCCTGTAGCTGTATCTGTATCTGCATGTGTATCTGCAACTGTATCTGCATCTGTGGAAGTGTAATTTCCTTGCGGCATGCCCGGGCATGTGCAACAATTACATTTTCTTCTGTCACAGGAAGTGGCGTACTTACAGTTATTAAAACCCGGCAACAACAGCAACCATAAGGACAACGGCATAAGCATCCGCATCAGCGGCAAGGCATAACAATGTAAGCGCTTAACGCACACTTATACGGACAGGATGTGGCTTGGGCTTGGTCCTGGCATATGCACAAGTTGTTGGTCCTGCGAAATGGCGGCAGACAAAAGGACGAGGCGGCAAAGACAACTATGGACTAAGGATGCATTGAGGAGACTGAGACTGTAAAGGAGCAGGAGACGAAGCATAAGTCCTCGCCTCACCGCAAATGCACTTCCCAATTTCAACTTTTTCCCCCTTGGCATTTTCTTTTTGGCCCATGAGCTCATCTGCATGTGGATTCTGCCTCCTGGATCCCTGCTCCCAGCTCCTAAGCAGGTGTGTTCCTGGTATGTGTGCAAGGATTCTCCAGCTCCTGCCTCAGTTTCCTTGCTTTGTTAGCAACTTTTGCACATTGTTTCTAATGCGGAATGGGAATTCCCCTCTGTTTTCCTGCCTTTCTGGCCATTTGTAGAGCAATTAAAGCGATTTGAATTAAAGCCGAGTGCTTAACGTTTGCCTTCTGCTGTAATTAAGGGACACTTTGAGGGCTTATGTGCCCACATTTTCTGCGCCTGGCCAGTTGAAGATGGCATTCGAGGTTTAAAGGCTTTTAAAGGCAGCCACAATAAATAACATAAATAAAGGATACAGATACAGATACAGATGCCAACTGATTTTGTGGGCCTCGAAAGGACGCAGCTGCCTAACTACGAGAAAAAAAAATTGGATGCCTTTTCGGCAGCCCCAAAACCAATTGGTTTTGTGGGTGTAGGGAGTTCTAAAAGTGTGTGTATGTAGGGAAATCCATTAGAATGTATCAATATTTGTGCGAGAAGGCGCCTCGGGTAGAATTTAATTCTCAAAGTATTCAAACACAGTCACACGAGGGGGTGGCTGGGCGTAGGGACCTCTTAAATTATGCGTGAATATTGAAAATATTTGCACAAACGCCTTTCAATTTAACGCACAAATGACGAGGCAAATGAATTTTCCACATCCACTGACATGGCGTTTTTTCCTCGCATACCTATCTTTTATACATTTTTTTTGCACATTTTAGTTGTCAATGTACAAATTGTAATTGTAAATTAATTGCCCCATCTGATTGTCTGTCGTTACGTCCGGATTTCTCTCTCAGTATGCATCCGGCGAAGTTTTTCCATTTAAAGCTGGCAGGAAACCGGTGGAGGAAAACAGACAAATGGCCGCACGTAAACGCGTTAAATTGAAAATCATTTTGATCTCGACGCGACCTTTTGCGGATGTCGTTGGGTGCAAAACCAGATGGAGAAAGGCCAGGATGGAGGACCAGACCTCCAGGAGGAGGAGTAGGAGAAGCAGGTGGAGGAGGAGGATGAGGCCACCTCGGGACACTCGCCTTCAAGTACAGCATGTGCCGCCTGGTTCTTTCCTCCTGCGTGCGCGCATATTTTTCACAATTTTTTATTTTCCCCGGCAGTTTTCTCTTTTGAAATTTCATATTTTTCTCGGGCCATAACAACAGGGAAAAAAAGCACACTGAACGACCATCCGCCCCATCGGCCCACTACCTGAGGTGAAAGTTTTGCAGCCCGTTTCCGGCTCAAACACACACCCACATATATAGTACTAAGTACACCCGGATACACCCAAAATCCCGCCACTTCATGGCGTGTAATGCGTTGCGCGATTGCCGCAAAAGTTTACAAAACATCCGAGGGTGGCCGGGAAGTTCTTGGCAAGTACGCGAGCGCATTAAATTCGTAATATGTTCCGCCTCGCATTGATACCGCTTACCATGGGCGATTCGGGCCGTAAAAGGCGGAACTGTAAACAACCTGAGAATGTTTCTGTTATGCAACCTAGTCTTCCGAGATAATTTATGAAAATATTGTAAAAATTGTAAATACGGAAGCAGTTTAGTTTTCGAACTCACAACACTGTGTCTTCCCCGTAAGAAATCGATTTATTAAGTTCCAAAGTTCTTATGCTATGAAACAAGTTCTTAAAATTTTAACAATGACGATACAATTTGCTGTAACCTATAAAATATATATATCTTTTTATGGGTCCTATTTAATTCTTTTATCATGGGTAGTAAAATTCTCAAGTAATGATATACGTTCAAAACAAGTTTTCACAATATTGTTTTTCAATATATAAAATGTCATAAGAGGAAGATAAACTAAAATTGCGTAGACTAGTTTCCCTATGTATGTATCTTAAAATCTCTGTGATATATCTACCATAACAACCACTGTTCCTAGCCCCACCGAATGAAGCAAGTCAAGACTCGTTGTAAAAATTTCGCGTGATTTCGTTTCGCCCCCAACAATGTAGCTGCGGTTGCTCCGGCTGCCGTGATATTGTAATATGTATGAAATTCGGAAGTATTTAGGGAAATCGTTGTTAAAGATTTCGTCGTTTTGCCATCCGACGACATCAATGCCAAGATGGCAGCAGTTGGCATTTGTGCGGTTGGTTGTTGGTTTCTTGGGTTGGCAAAGCGCGTTGGTTTCGTATAATTTTGCTACTTTTGCATGCACAGTGGGGTGGGGGGTTTTCTTTCCTCCATCTCATTCCGTATTCCCCACTTCCTGACCCTACAGCCCCCACAAACATCCATCCCCCTGCTCGAATTTCCAGAGTTGGCAACCTCAAACTCAAACCCACGTCAATGTAACACGCGTGCCTATAAATTTCTGTGGGGATAGGTATAGGGGGTTTTGGGAGTTCCTTGGGGTGGTACAGGGGGTCAGAGGGCATTGTCGCCAGGTCTGTGTATATGCGTGGGTATTATAAGCCTGGATTTCTTTATTCAATCGTTTTTGCGACTCCCGCAGCGCTCTCATCATCGGCGGCCATAAAATAAAAGTTACGAACGCCCTTGGGGCCAGGACATTACGCCCCCAACTCCCACCTCCCACCCACATGTTCATATGTACCCACGCATGTCCTGCGGCGTGTTCCATGCTTGACCGGTTTTTTCCTTCTTTTTTTTTGCCAGAACAATCTGGCCATCTACCCATTCAATACAAGATAGATGGCCGCTGACCGCAGATAATTGCCGCAGCCAGAGGAAAATTGGAAAATTGCGCACAAAGAAGGCTAAATTTGCATGCTGCGCATTTTTCAATGAACAATGACGTAACACATAAGCACACATTGTGTTGGCCATTTCGTGGGGCTTATCAAATCGGAAAATCGCAAAATCGGAAAAGGAAAAGGGAAAGTCGTCTCCACTCAAGCTGAAGCAATGAAAATCCAGGCAATGAGCCCAGGATCCGGACTCCGGAGTTCCTTGAAGGGTGGAGGGATGAAAGTGCTAAGCTTATTGCGTCGTTTAGGCAACACCCGGGCCAACGAATTGGCCAAGTGGCAGCCACAGCGATGAACCCTTTGAGTGGCAGACAAGAAGATATATGTATGTACAGGATACAGGGACACACACACATACACACATTTGCTCGCAAAAGGTCCTGTAAGCACAACCTTAAGTCTTTGATTTGCCGAGGAAAGTATGCCAAGGCGGAGAGAGCTCTCTTTTGAAAGTTCCTTGGGATCGCATTTCCTTTCGAGGAGGTGAATTGACAAGTTTTTTGCGACTTTCGCAATTTTTATGACTCCATTTACTTAGAAGCAGGCGGCACGGGAAAACTTTGCTGTTGATAAGCAAAGCAAACCTTGCAGAGGGCTGGCTTGGTAAATTTATGCTGATGTGAAGGGCCCCGAAAGACAACAAACTTGACATGGGGGCCCTGGCTGAGCAACGATTGTAAAATACATTAGCATAAATTTGACATAAACGCTTCACAAACAGTTTCTTCTGGCTGAGATTGCTGTCAGCCATCCTACATCTAACATACAACACACAACATCCAACAAACAACCCCCCCCCCCGTGTGACTTATCGTTTCAGCTTTATTAAACCGGGATATAGATGTGGAAATGTAGAAAGTGCAAATCTGCAACTGCTAAAACGAGCCATGACGTAGTAAATTCCACAAGACACACCCGCTTTGAAATTAATTTGAATTTTTAAAATGATGCCCGCTCGTAAATTTGATGTTTGTGCTGCGGGCAAAAATCACTGAAATACCCTATAGGCAGGGGGTATTATACTTTTAAAGAGATTGGTGGATTTATGAAATTTTTGACGGCCGGCTGGCTTTTGTCACTAGGCTTAGTAAAGTCATAGATTTTTATTGGTAATGGACTGAATATAGGGCACAGATCCATCGGTTACTTGTGAAACTCTGCCTCACGCCTCACTACACACATCAAATTCATTTCATATGCTAACCCGTCATCAGATGGAAACGCCCCCTCCGCAATCCGCCCCTGGCCATGTGGCCATCTATATGAGCATTTTATTCTGACGAGGCGACGAGAATAACATGTCAAATTTATAATGCCAGCAATTGCGTTATGTATTTTTTATGACTCCGACGGCTAGGCAATAACCCCAAAAGCAGGAGGAAAAAATGTGGGGAAATGGTTTTAGCCAGATGCCGTTGGCGAGAAATGGATAAATGTTTTTTTCGAAAATAGCCCGGCCATTTTTTACGATTTTCTGAACTAATTATGGCCAGGTTGAGCTGATTTCGAGGGTCTATGGAAAGCAGAGAAACAATTCCACCAATGCAGCTTCTCATATCATTATCATTATTATTATAATTAACAATCCAGCCAGGCAAAAGCGACATCGCGTTGGGGGTTCCTTTCTTTCAAGAGGGAAATCGATGCCACATTGGAAAATGAAATGACTGCCTGGAAGGCGTCACGTTTCCAGCGAAGATGACGGCAATTGTTGCAAATCATTTTTTATTTCCTTGCACTGCCTGCGGTGCGGCGCATGAGTGCGAATATAGTTATATCTATTCTGTTGTTGCCAAAAGTTTTGTTTGTTTGCCGAAGAAGTCGGCCCACAGGCAGAAGCCGTTGCTTATGACTTTCATTTGTTTTGACATCACGTTGCTGCAGTTCCCTCGGATTCGAATTGGTATTGGGGACCTCCGAGGGGGAATTTGAAACTGGCTGGCAACTAGGAAAGATCGAAAAGTTTTATGGAATTCCTAATAACTGCTTCTCTATTGGAAAACTATTCATTTTCCTTTGGCCAAGGAAAAAAGCATGCCAAATTCTTGGCCACAAAAATGTATCTCTCGACTCGGTTCAAAATATTGTTATGAAAGTATGTGCTCAAATTCTTAATTGGTTTTAATGCAAACGTGCTTGTCAAATATTTTGTATTTATTTGGTAGTCAGAATTTCTGTTGCTTTATTCTTTTCATGAGGTGAATATTTGCATTGTGATTTATTTCTTGACTGCGGAAAAGTTATACTTATTTGGCCTTTCTACTGAGTTGTTATTAAGGATATCAGTGAAGTCGATTTTAAATATTTTTAATTGGCTATAAGCCGTACATTAAATACTTTGCTTATTAAATCTTAAAATGTAGATAAATTAAACTCTTCAATACAATTGGAATTCACTTTTAATTTAATAAATGAATTGAAAGATATTTGTTACTTTATTTTTCACATAATTTTTCTTTTCAAACGAAAGCACCTTTCTCCCTGAATTTTAAGTTCTTCCTGTTCTTAATCCTTTAATGTATGCCTGTATCTCTTTAATCCTATTATCTGGTAAACTTTTCTGAACATTAAGAGCTCTATCTACCCTCGCTTGGGTTTGAAAGAGAATCCATGAGCAACTCATAAAAGAAGTTCAGCACGTTGCCGCCGCGTTTTCTGTTTGTTGTTTCGCTGTTGGGCGTATTGAAAGTCGGTTTGTATTGGCCAATGTCTGCCGTTTTCCTTTGGAATTACGCGTTATGGCATGAAAAACACAGCAAATACGGAGGCAACAGCGGCTCCCATGACTTTGACTTTGCTGCACGATAATCAGAATGTTTTTCCTAGTTCCCCTTACCCCGTGGCCATGGCTACGTGAAAATGGGCAAAATGCGCAAATGTTTGCGCACTGGTTGAGCAGCAGCAGCAGCAGCATAGCATAATACATAAACACGAACCCCTGGCCAAAAGTTGAATCCGAGGAAACTCATCCGTGGCGTAGCAGCTTCGCCGGCGGCGCTTATGCATTTTTCATGGCGCCCACAAACACGTGCTGGCCACATATTCATATATGTATCTGCGTATATGTATATGCGCAAAAAAAGAAAGGAAATGAAATGAAAATTCCAGCATCGCCCCGAAGAATCGGACGCATCCATCAACACGTCAAAAGGGCGGCAACAGCTGCCGACACTTGGAGTGCCAATAAAAATGTTAAGTATTCCAGCACTGTTGACAAAATTACGTCAAGGTTGGGGGTTCAGAGCTATAACTTGGTAAGATACTTAAGATACTAGATAAATGCCTTCGATAGGAAACAAGAATTTCAAGGGAGACGCCATAATTTAAGCATCAGATTAGAGGGGCGGCGAAAGACATAGTTTCTCCGAATGGGCTGCCAAAAGTATCTGCCAGATACTTTCGGCACTTTTTCCTTTTATCTTCTTTGGCAGCTTGTCAAAGTTGAATCTCAGGACTCGCACTTGCTGTAATGAGTTAAGTAACACGTTTTCCCGCAGCCGTGTAAACATGCTCATTACACCGACTGCCAAAACATGCAGGTGAAACCATGCGGAAGGACAAGTTTCGGTGGGTATCTCTGTGCATATATATATATTTACACCCGCGGCGTCACTAGTATTTACAGATTAGCATAAAATTAACGCACACGCCCACGCATTTGTACAAAAGTAATTTACATGATAATACACTTCTTGTTTTCGAACTCAATTTACGGCATGTGCCGTCGAGTTTCTAATTAAAAATCGAGTGGAATCAGACTTTTTTTTGGTTGTGTTATTTTTTGCCTCTCAGCTTTTTGTATTATGTTGATTACACTCACCCGCTTGCCGCGCTTGCCACGCGGTCCTTTCTCTCCAGGAGGTCCTGCAGGTCCAATGGGTCCCGCCTCTCCTCGAATCCCTGGTTCTCCGGGCGGACCTGTGTACAAAACCCAATGTTAATTTCACCGAATCGCTTCTAGTGACAGATTTCAAAATGCGAGCAAACAATGGCAATATACCTATACCGTCACACAGATACTACTGATACAAATACAGATACAGCTACGCCCGCAAGTGTTGTGCAAACAGTGGGCGTGGCCTTTGTAATTATAGAGCACCGAGAGCTCAATATAGCCTTCACTCCCCCCATACCATTCTGTTGGTTTTGGTCAGCAATTTGTTCAACTGGTTGATGATAAGGGACGGACAGCTCTTGATGGTTTAACGATGGTCGGGGCTTAGTTGGCAATGCAAATTGTTTATTTGCCTGGGAATGAAATGCTCTGAGTTCACCGTGGTCGGCAATCGATTGTAAATGGTTCAAGGCCCCAGCTTCCTCCTATCTCTATGCTAATGATGCAGCGACTTGACCCACTTAATGGCATTCTATATACAGATATATAACGTGTCGGAATACCTTTCCCTACGACGCCACTCGAGCAATTGGAATGCAAACAGATGCAGAAAAACAATTTAATATGCATAAGCTGCACTTTTGCTGGCAGCTGGAAAATAAGACCTTACACGCAGCAAAATTAGGATGGATAGAGAGATATCAAATGTTTCCATTTGAAAATTCGTGTTCATAATTATTCGAGAAGAAATAATCTTGAAATCGAGACGAAATATTCTTGAAAATTCATTAAAATTTGTCCCTCACATATTCGAGAAGAAACTTTCTTAAAATCGAGACAAAATTACTCCTTAAATTGAGAAACAATTACTATATATTGGTTTTCAAGAAGAAAGTCGTCTGAGAGCGAGTCCATCATCTAAATTTTTGGACTTGAAACTATATCATCCTTGGTTTACTTCTAAGATCGACAGAAGGCGGATTTTTTTTCTTGAGAACGTAATTTTTCTTGGTGTACTCATACCTCTTCGACAAGGAATCTCATTCTCCGATGGATCTCTGTGTATATGGAGCAAATACTTCACAGCCGTCTGTTGGCTGCAAATCCAATTTGAGCTCATCAAAGACCCCATCCCTGACATCCCCTCCTGACAATTTACCGACCCCCGCTGGCTCACATTCTTGCTAAACGCTGGCTCTTCACTCAATTTGCGTGCTTTGTTCCTAAGCCGCCGTGCTGAAGTGGCTCATAAATCCATCAGCGGCAAATTGACTTTGCCCCACTGTGCGGTCGTCGACCAACCTGTTTAGTTAGAATAATGAGAAATTGCGTTCTTTTTTTTCGGGTTGTTTGCCATGGCCATTAAACGAGACCATTTGCACAACCAACAATGAAGGGTAGGGCAGAAGGGGGCTTATATCATAGATAAATCCAATTGTGCGGCTTGTCAAAAACGGGACAGGGCAAAAAGATATAGTGAATTTATTAAGTTCGTAAAATTGCGTTTACGCAAAAGGACCTCGTCGTCCTGCGGAGAGCATAAATTTACCGGCACGCCAGGAAAAAGATCCTCTGATGTCGCCTCCCATTTGTTTATAAAGCCATTCAGTCCATTGTCTGGGCCAGAAGTTTTCTATTTTCTATTTATGTATGCATAATTCACCGTTAAGCATTTTAAGCGACAATTGCAAAACAGTATAAAAACTATGGTAGAACAGAGGGCCCAGGGAGGGTTGTGGATTTATAGTGTCCAGTCCAGAGTGTCCAGGATATTGGATTGCCGGTCGGTCAGCTTAGTGTTTATTTTTGCCTTACTGGCAGATGGAATGCCCGAGATAAGTTTTAATTTCATAGAACGGATGCCGCCCGAAGACGCAATGCAATCATCCAAAAACAAAAACCCAAATGAAATGAAATTCAAATAAATCATGAAATAAATTGAATTTTTTGATATTACAGCTGGGACTGTCCATGTTTTGTGCTGAGATTTTCCGGGCTCTGGGCCACCGGACCACCGGCATTTTCCGCCTTAAAACGACAACACATCCAATTGCTCTGGGCTGCCAGGCCCACACACAAAGAAAGCTTAACTAATTACGAACCCGATAAGATAAGCCGTCGAGACCAGACAGACACTGGGAATCCCGGAAACAAATGACGTTCCATTTATTCAAATCAAGCCGGAGAAATGTCCCCTGGGTTCTGGGTTCTTGTCGCTGAATTTGGGGAAAAATAAATTGCAATTTCATGTCCATCAACGCACCAGGGAAAAGTGGGCGGGAGTTGGATGGATGGGCCTACCAAAAACTGGACGGAGATAATCGAATGCAGCATTACTGCAACAGCAACTGCAACTGGCAGTGCAACTTCAACTACCTTTGGATATCGCAACAGCAGATCTTGCATCCCAAGTACAAAAGTCCAGAAAGAAATCCAGAAACAATAGCCAGCTACACGAGCCTCGTCATCACAATCACATCCAAATGCCACTGGCGACATCGAAGCACTTTGATGCCAGCCAACTGATAAGTCAAGGGGCGGTGGATGAGGGGCAGGGAAAGGGGGTGTGGCACATCCAGGGCGGATGGGCGGTTGGAGAGGGGGGCTTGGACCCTCGTAATGATGCGGGTTGCGCAAAACCGCAGCCAAGCGCTTAATTGATGGCGTTGCTTGATGGCCTAACGAATGGTCAAACGCACTAGGGGTACTCAATCAGGGAAAACTTGAGAAATTAAAATAAATCGTAAATAAATCATACAGATAAATAAAAAAAAAGAAATTCCAATAAGATTTTGTTATATTTAGAAAGTAGCAACGCATCATCATCAAATAGAATTAATAACTTAATGCACCGGATCATAACAGATTTCAAAGCCAATCAAAGCTATTAATGAACTTTCAATGTCGTGTTAATGTAATTTTAAGGGGGCGTCATCCCAAAGCATAAAAAATAAATTACCCGAACCAAAATTAATAAAAACAAGGAAGAACGCTATAGTCGAGTACCTCGACTATCAGATACCCGTTACTCAGCTAAATGGAGATATGCAAGCAGCAAAGCGAGATTAAAATGCGCCACCTACCGGCGGTATACAGATTTAAGCGTTATGGGCGTTAGAGTGGGCGTGGCAAATTTTTTTTTGGATCAATCGATAGGTATCGACGAGACCAATACATTTCAGTTACAATTTTTTATCTAGCATGAAAATTGTGGGCGTCACAGGTTTTCGCGGTTTGTGGGCGTTAAAGTGGGCGTGGCAAACTTTTTTTAGGTCAATCGACAGGTATTGATGAGAACATTACATTTCAGTTAAATTTTTATTCTAGCATCAAAACTGTAGGAGCCACAGTTTCGGGCGGTTTGTGGGCGTTAGAGTGGGCGTGGCAGTCTACTGAAACAAACTTGCGCTGCGTAAGAAGCTCAGGAATCTGCACGCCAAATCTCAATAGCCTAGCTCTCATAGTTTCCGAGATCTCAGCGTCATCCGAAGACGACAGACGACAACGGAATGCTAATCGATCGGCTAGTGATCCTGATCAAAATATATATTTATGGTCGAAACGTTCCTTCTGCTGTTAATACTTTCCGACGAATATATACTCTACGAGTAACGGTATAAAACCGACAACGGATAGTCAACACCATTAATCCGCAATCCATCATTGGTTAAAGAACTTTCCAGTGTCATACAATGACTTTTATTGGTCATCAATCCATCCACTAAGTCCATCAGTCGCAGCTCGTGCGATTGCTTATTTATTGCCACCATTGAGTGCCCCTAGTAAAACAATAGTACAAGCTTTCCCACCGAGATCCCAACCCATCCCATACCATACCATCAGATTCATAGTGTTGTACTCCAACTCGATGGTAGTCATGCTAATGAGCCGCTAAAAGCAACATAAATGACATAAAGTTGCATTTTTACGACTGTGGCCAGTGCCACGAGTTTTCGGGCTCTACAAATTTTTACGAGAATCACTAGATTTGTATTTGATTCTGGGGCGTTTCAACTATTTTCGAACGGCATGTTTTTGGGGCATTTCTCGTGTATTAAATTCGTATAAAGTGCAGAAATGTGTTATGTTAGGAGCGGCTCGTAAAACCGAAAGCCGAATGGAAATTCCATTGTTGTTGTGGGCGTACTGAACTCCCAACATTTCTATGCGCATTTAATTGACGTTAAAGTCCGAATTGGGGGAACAGCAAAGGTCATAAAAGTTATCGCAAAATGCAGCAGTGGAAAATAAATTTGAAAATTTCCAAATATGGCAGAGGAGAGGAATAAAATATTTAAAATATGTGTGGGGCCATAAAAATTGGTTGGGAAATTGTGTGAAAAGCGCGCGCGCTGGCACTCTGATTTCCATTTAAACGAGCCAACCAAAAATAAAAAGACTAACTAATGGGAAACTGGCTAGTCAATGACTCAATTAGACGGGGAGGGGGCCACATATTCCCAGCACTCCCAGATGCGAATGACAATAAATTAGACGACCCGCAGCAGTTGAAAAACTCCACGTTCATCGATCAATCGATGCCAAAATGCACAAGTATCTTTGAATCTGTATCTGTATCAGTATCTGTGTTATCCCAAATGCGTTAAGTGGCAAACAAACAAATATAAATAGTTTACCTGGTGGTCCCGGCGGTCCCGGCGGACCTTCGATGATGCCCGTGGGGAACTCGTCACCCTTGATCGTTGTGGTAAGTCCGCGATCGCCTCGATCGCCCTTGTCACCCTGCAAAGTCAGCCAGAGAGTGAGTCATTGTGGAAATTAAGTGGAAAACCCAGAGTCAGCCGGTGCCTTAATGCATAAATAAACGATAAATACTGAGGAAGAAAAGAAAAGCCCGAGACCATAAAGAAAATGGGAAAGTCAGGAGAACAAAAGAGGACGACCCGACAGGATGACAGCGAATCACTGGCAGTCACTTAAACCGTAGCCTTGTTTATCCAACAGATACAAATAATGCATTAATCCTGGTGACATCTCCATCCTCCCTCGGATTCTCTTTATTGTTATCATGTGTGTGTTATCTGCGCGCCGTCTTTGTTTGTGCTTGTAGGTTTTTGTAAAGGGATTTTCGGTGAATCGCAATCACCGGCAGGAACTCACCTTTGTGCCAGGTGCGCCGGCCACGCCGGAGGTCCTGCGATTCCGGCTGTCCGGCCTCGCCCTGGACGCCCTGTGCTCCAGTTTCACCCGGAGGTCCTCGCTCGCCAGGCACCCCAGGTTGTCCCGCCTCACCCGGAGGTCCTGGCGGACCCGGTTCACCAGGCTCTCCCTGTGGAAACGAGGAAACATGTGTATAGCTCAGGATTTGAATCAGGTTCTAGATTCCCATGGAGTTCGGGGCACGTGCAGGACATAAACCATAAACAGGACATGCTGGGTCAATGGAACTTCAAAACTACTCACCTTCAGCTGTATGACTGTGGAAGCGGATACATTGACGCCTGCTTCTTGCAAGTCCTTACAGCATCAACACAAACCAAAAACAACAAGTTTAAATGCAACATAAAAAATATTAAATTAAGTTAATCAAAACAATGGTTAGTAAATCATCAAATATTAAACTTCAGCTGCTGCAAAAGCCAGATTAGCCAAATTAAAAGCAAATAAACCAAATGAAATGAGCGTTCTTAAAGGGTAACTTCAAAACTAGAAACAAATAGGATGGAAATTCCATTAAAAACTACCAAGGGATCTGTCCGAAAAGTTGCCACTGCCAAAAAGAAAGGAAAAGGGGGAAAGTGTATACCAAACTACAAAACTACGATGTTGCAACGAATTTATGGCGCAGTTTAAACAAAAGAGCCAAGGCAGCAGGACAACCGACGGAAGACAGAAGCCAGAAGACAGGAGACAACTTAAAAGCATTACAAACGAGAATGAAGCGAGACAATAAACACAACTACACAAGGATACAACTAAGTAAAAGGACGACTAGGAGAGGACTGGACCAGAAGGACAAATCCAGAGACCAAGGACAACCAGTTGCGAATAATTTGTGTACGCTGGGTGCCATCGCTTGGCCATCTGCATTTGGCCCCTGAAAAATGGTCTTGACCATGTCCAACGTCTACGTCCAAACAGGGAATTTGGGAGGCAGGGTGATAAAGAGTGGCAAAGAGTTGGATGGGTGTGGCAATACCTTAACAGCAACTATCTCCGCATAGCCCAGCGTGCCGCCATGCAGCGTTGTCACCGATCTCTTCAGACCCTAGGAATGCAAAGCAATTTGGACCCGGTTAGACTCTATTTAATTTGTAGCCAAGAATTGCAGCAGCCTTTGCGGATTTGGACGACTGGAGGAGGACTAGGTGATGGACTTACCTTCACCGTTTGGAAGACATCCATGCCGGGGTGGCCGACATCGCCCTTTGGCCCTTGTCACCGGGCTTGCCCGCCGAGCCCTTCTCGCCGCTGATGCCATTCATGCCCTGAGCGGAGAAAAGATATCCAAAGTTTGCTTAATTTAGTTTCTTCCTTATTTCCCTGATATGTTGCGTTTAATAAATGTACGTTGGAACTATAAACAGATGTCCGATTATATATGAAATCATTTCTAAAACATCCTTTTTCCGGTGATCCTTGGCTGGTTACAATGCTTTTTATGAATATATATTATTATTTTAGTTTGGGCTAATTAAATTTATAAAAATTTTAATCAGTGAGTTCACGAAAATCAAGTATTTAAAAATGATTTCACTTATAATCCGCTAAGAAATCGAATACTGTCCATTTAACTTAAAGTAAAAATGCTGAAAAGATTCATGTGTATTCAATGTTTGCATGTATGTATCTCAATTTAAAGGAGCTGTAAAGTTTCAACGAATATCTGAAATCCAGATGGAATACGTTTTTCTGAATGTGTTAATTCGTTTTCAATTGTAAAATAAATCATAAGAGCTCTTCCACTGGAAAGGTTTCTCAGCATATGGACTTCATTTCCTGTTTTCAGCTGCCACTTACCGGATCGCCCTTCTCACCGCCGTCTCCCTTCTTGCCGCGTTCCCTCGTTTTCCCTGCGGACCTGGTGGACCTGGAGGACCTGCAACGGAAAGTTTCGAGAGTGAGTTGTGAAAAAGCAATCTTAAGGTCGCCTCATTAGTTGCCCATTGAACTTGCCGCTGACCCACAGGAACCCGGACCAGTGGCAAGTCATTTCCTTGGTCACATCTTCGTTTTGGCCATCTTAAATCCCCATTCCCATTTCCAGTTGAGCTACTTTTTTGAACGTTGTTTTTTGCGCAGTTGGCGCGAATTCATTTAGCTGAAAAATGACTTTTCGCAGCATTTTGTCACGCTGCGGGAAAAAAAAAGCGATGCTGCTGGCGAATGGCGACTGGCGGGCACAAAATATTTACAACCACTTTGGCTGCTATTATTTCGGTGCTGCGAGGAAACTTTATCTATCCAAAGGAACCAGAGGAGCGAAGAGCAGGCAGCCAGGATCCTAGGACCTCGGAGCAGGACAAAGCTGCAGTCGATGCTTTTCAATTATTTCGCATGCAATTTTCCATGGCATAAAACTCCCAGGCCAGGGTCCTTCGTGTCTTGTAATTTTCCACTGCTGCAGTTTCTGCTGCCAGTCTGCCCATGGCAATTATTTTTATTAGAGCCGACGCCGACCCGCTGCACTTGTTGTTTTCTGCATCTACGGGACAGGAAATTAACACCTAAAATTCCAAGACAAAGGCACCCAAACGGTTTTTGTATAGTCCAATGTATCAGTCGGAAGGTGTGAAAATATTTAATTAAATTAACAGGCAACACAGACAACAGAACAGCAAAAGCAAGGCATCTACAGGAAGCTCCCCCCATTCGCATTCTCAAACTCTGAAGTTTTTTTTCGGGGCCGTTTCATATAATAATTGTTGTAATTAAGTAATTTCGTTTTTCCACTTCTCCGTTGGGGAACTGGAGAACAAGAAAGAGACCAAGGGCCTGGGTCTTCGAAAGGAAGCTGCCCTTAATGCAGGAAACGCCGGCAAACAATTTAAATTCATTTCGCGCTAAAATGGAGCCGCAAACTACCAAAGGCATGCGCCCCTCCTCTGGGTGGTAAACTAGGTGGGGGCGTTGGAAAAGTGGGCGTGTCCATGTTGCAGACTGTTGTAGGTGCGAAGTGAGGCAGCCAGCATGACGCAGGCAAAGGTGCCGCCCCTCCGCCCTAATCTACGGATGCTTATTTAATTAAAAAAAGATTTCCCAGTTCAGGAACAAGAAAGTACGAAGGCAAGAGCAAAAGAACCAAGACTAATAGAGTATATTTACAAGAAATGTAAAGGTTGTTGCAAAACTTGGGGATTACCTGGTGGGAGCTTCCTAAATATAAACGATGGTTTATTGGCAATTAGGTACTTAAAGTTAACTCTTAGATTCAAATGGATAAATGGCATCTGCTGACTAAGTTTATGTCTCCTCTACAAGCTTTATCCGATAGCCTTTTTAAGAACCTTGAAGTCCCGAAATAAATAAAAATGAGATTTATAAGAATTAAGTTGTATGTATATTAAAGAACCTTGATAGGAACACCCGGTTAAAGCAAACACAACAAAAAAGAAACAACTTCTTATCGAGCTTCTTCCCTATCGGCTTACCCTAATCAATAGATCTGCTAGGAAAACCCCTAGAAATGCTCCGTTAAGCCATCCATGAAATTTCCCTAATCTTAAACTGTGGCCCACTGTTCGTCGTAGTCGCAAATTATGCGCTTGCAGCACTTGCCAAGTAATAAAAGCCAACCAATTAAGCGTGGCTAAGACCCGGTCCAGAAACAATGAAGGAGTAACTCTGCCCGGCGGGGTGGACGAAAGTTGGGAGCCCCATAGATGGGGTGGGTGGGGAACAAAAGGAGGGACTTGAGCGTCAAGTGTCGTAAGCCAAAGCCAAACGGAAAGCGTTGACGCACGAAAAAAGAAAGTAGAGTACGGAAAATCGAGGGGTGGTATGGCAGGAAATATGGGTGGTGGGAAAAGGAAGAGCGGAAGGCCTTTGTGAGCGGGCGGAAAAAGTTAAAATTGCTCTTAATCTAATAGCAACATAATAATCATAATCATAACATCGTTTGCCTTCACATGGGTGCCCTGTGTCTCTGCCTCCCCATCCCAGAGTTTTCCCCGCGTTTTCCCGGCTTTCCCAATCCCTCTTTCATCGTTGCCATTAACGCCGCATTTTCCGTATTATTTTCGCGTTGATGGCGCCATTTTGGCTTACAGTTTGTTGGCTGCTAATGGCATTTATTTGTTGTTCTTCCAGCTCCTGTTGATACTGCTGCTTAATGCGCTAAGAAATCTTATTGCCAGCACATATATACTCCTTCATATATATTATATATTGTATAGGTTGTCAGGCAAACTAAGTGCGCTGCCAGCTGATGAAGTTGTTAAGTCGCAACTTGTTTCTTTTCCGCCCAACTTGATGGCAGTCCTGTCGTCTTCAATGTATTTTCCCGCTTTTACAGATGATAATAATGATGATGATGATGATGATGGTTCAGGCAATTGAACGTACTCGCACATACGTGCCAGCGGAGCTATAAATCTCTATCGATGGCATTAGTTCAACCGCTCGTGCATCAGCTCAGTCAGAATCAGAATGAGGATGGGGATACCAACCCCCAGAAAATGGGAATTATGTCAAGTTGTGAGCGTAATAAATACCCGACTTGGCATCGTTTACGTGCGTACAACACCACGACAACACGTACATCCAGCAAACAACGGCTAAACAAGTTGGCAAACACCCCGGAGAGATGGGCAAACTGAAAGGACTAGGACTACATCCCCCATTCCCATCCACCCATCTCGCAGGACAACCCGAATGGTTCTGCACCTGATCGGGGAATTGAAGTTTCGCCGGCTGCAGCATCAACTAACTTTGCCGCCACACTTGGGGCTTGTTCATTCTCCCAGAGATTCATCTAATTTGCCAAGTTGCCAGCCAGCAGGGCAGCAGGCAATTCGGGGTTCAAAGACTTGACTCGACTGGCTTCAATTTTTGTGGTCAAAGCTCAATTGATTTTTCACTGAAAAGGATAACTCTTTTGGGCTCGATTTGAATAGGGGCTGATTGGGCGAGCTGCTAAAATGATTTCTTTGGAATTTGCTGATACAGCTTACTCCTAAAATGAAAAACTCAATAAATAAATCAGAATCAAGTGAAAAATCTTTAAAGTCTGTTAAAGATCTAAGATTCGCAATGCTTTAAAAGGGGTAGCATTTTAGGAATACTTAGCTTTAAATCTGGGGAAAATAAAGCAAATTAGTGGTTTAAGCCTGTTTATACTTAACTTTTCTTAAAAAGTTAAATATTCACGTTTTTTAAGTAGTTCTCACTCTCGCTTTATTATTAATATTGCTGGGCCAAAGTAAACTCTACCTATATTCTTCAAAAACTTGTACCTATAAGTGCACCTGCTGCTTGTCTTTGAGCTATGCAAAAAGTTTTTCTGCTTGAAATCGGATTTTCCAGCTGTAAGGCAGCCACTCGGCAGTTTCATTAGCTGCGCTTAAAGGCGAACGCGTATAAGTTTAAGAGGTAAATGAAATTTTTATTTAAAGTAGTGGCAGTGCAGATGGTCCGCAAACCAGTATCCAGTATCCAGGATCCCTGTCATCCTGTCAAGGACGTCTGTGCGCAGCGCAAAATGAACTGCCAGCCAGGAGTGAAACTTGAAATGCAAACATTGATGGCAAACTTTTAACTTTTGCCGTGACGTGTGTCGTCCTTGTGCTCAGTTCCCCGGTGTCCTTCGTACGTGCGTCAGTGGCAGGCAAATGCAGGCTGCTGCTGCAGGCTGCAGGATGCAGGATGTGCGATTCCAAATGCAGCCAAATACGAAATGGTAAGCATACTTGAAGCATTTGCTCCTTCCTGCTGCGGACATAACTGCAAAAGTTTTTCCTGCCTGCCTAGAGTCACGCATTTTCCGACTTAAGAGCACCCCGCTATCCCCCCTATTTTCTCACCCCTTTTCCAATGCAAATGAAATTATGTAGCCAGCGGCGATGGGTGGTTGGGTGGCTGGCTGAAAAACAAAGAACGAGGAAAATATGCGAGTTCCTCGTAGAGCAAATGTTGTGTTGCTACTTGTTTGTCTGCAAGTTGCCACTGTAAATCTTCAATAAATGCGAATGCGAAAATGCTGCGCTACATTACATATAAACAAAAAGGGCGGCAACTTTCGTCTTGCCTCTCGGCGTTGTCCTTGTCCTTGTCGTCTGCTGATATGCGATACTTTCCATACAAAATAAATCTTATTCCCTTCCCATTTTTTCCCTTTTTTTATTTTCCTGCAGCTTGTCTCCTCCGCCAGCGGTGTTTTGTTCGCAAAAGTGTCTCATGTTGTCCCAGGGATTCCTTTCTGGGATATTGTAATTGTATAGCGATTCGGTTTCTTCCTGGAAACCTGCTTGGATGCCCCACAAAAACATGATAAGATTCCCTGCTTGAATATGATTTGGCGATTATCAGATGTGATTTATGCCTGCTCATTAGGCCAGAAACCTGTTCTTTATGTTCGTAATATTCAAAGCCAGTAAAATCAGTAAACTGAGCAGGGACACCGGGTCAAATTAAATTTAGCTGGCCAATTTAATGGACAAGCCTTGTTCTATAATTCAATTCAAGTGGTAACTATGGACATGTCAATTATTTCACTCCAATGAACACAAATGCCCCATAATTGACTTATGCTCGTATTATGTGCAAGATGCGTAACTCTGTGACTCCAAAAGGCCAGATCATTATCACTGCCAAGTAATCAACAATGGTCAGAACCAAATTAGTGGACCCGGGGCGATGTCTGATGTTCGACAAATGCATTATGACAAACTTTTATTGGCTGTCTGAGAGTGTGTGTGTGGGTGTGAGAGGAAACGGAAACAGTAACTGAAACACAGGAATCTCACACAAGCTGAGTAACTCGGATCCTTGGATCCCTGGCATCGTCTGGTTTTATTTACAGGCGAACATTTGCACGAGGTAAATGCCTGGCGGTTTGGCAAAGCGAGAACCCAGACAACACGCACACACAGATGACAAGTG